TCAGAATGCCGTCTCGGATGGAAGTCTTGATGGTTTGTTTGCTTGAGATGTTGAAGTTTCTTCTGCAGTTTCTTCCGGGCTGAGGACTGGCGAACTTGCGAAGAAATAAGCCTGACTCTGTGGAGAGTTCTCTCCCGGGTGGAAAGTTGCAAATAACGATGTGTCTGTTTCAAAGCGAATTAAGTGAGAGTAAAACACTCTCTAAATTATTTTGGGTCGTAAAAGCCATCTAACCTTGCTAAGATGTCTTTGCTGCTATGGTAACCAGAGGCCTGTTCTGCCTCTGGGTGTTAGTCATGGCTTGGGGGTATTTCACAGACATCCTGACACCCACTCCAGTTGAGTGGTGTATTGGGATATTTGGTAAATATAACAAATAATAATGTGTCTGATTTGTTCAGCCTTTACAATAATAATAATAAATGATTATTGAGCATCAAATTAGCATATTAGAATGATTTCTGAAAGATCTTGTGACACTTAAGATTGGAGTAATGGCAGCTGAAAATTCAGCTTTGCCATCATAAGAATAAATTACATTTGATTACATTGATAAAAAGCTGTATTTCTTATGAAAATGCAGCCTTGGTGAATGGAACCTTGTTTCCACAACAGGATTAAAAAATAAAGGAAAAGAAAAAAATAGCAACTTTTTATCTCCCCCCCTCCCTATTCTAAATTAAGTATAAAAACTCAAAATTGTGAGATATACACTTACATATAAACTGACAATTCTGAGAAGAAAAATCCAGATTGTAAGAAATCAAATCACAAACGTGAAAAAAGGTCAGAATTTTGAGATAAAAAGGTCAGAATTTTGAGATACAAAGTTTCAATTACATTTTTATGATTAATCTCAGAATCCTGAGAACAAAGTCAGAAAAGTGAGATAAACTCAACAGCAAAGTGTAAACTCTGAACTGCAAGAAAAAAGTTAGAATTTTGAGTTTACATCTGACAATTACCACCTTTTAAATCAGTTTTATTCTGATTTGTTTACATGTCAGAATAATAGTCATGGCCAAAAGTTTTGGCAGTGACATAAATTTTGTGTTTTGCAAAGTTTGCTGCTTTAGTATTTGTAGATTATTTTTCCACATGTTTCTATGGTATACTGAAAAACAATGATAAGCATATCATACGTGTTAAAGGCTTTTATTGGCAAAAAATATAATGAGTCAATATTTACAGTGTTGACCCTTGTTTTTCATAACCTCTGCAATTCGCTCTGGCATGCTGGATATTAGATTCTGGGCCAAATCCTGACTGATGGCGATCCATTCTTGCCTTATTAATTCTCAGAGTTGATCACAATTTGTGGGCTTCTGCTTGTCCACTCGCCTATTGAGGACTGACCACCGGTTCTCTATGGGATTGAGATCTGGGGAGTTGCCTGGCCAAGGATCCAACATTTCAATGTAATGATATTTGAGCCACTTCTTTATCACTCTTGCTTTGCGTCATGGTGCTCCATCATGCTGGAAAATGCACAGATCATCACCAAATTGCTCATGGATCGCTGGAAGAAGTCACTCTTGCAGGACGTTTTGATACCATTCTTTATTCATGGCAGTGTTTTTGGGCAGAATTATGAGAGAGCCCACTCCCTTGGTTGAAGAGCAACCCCACACATGGATGGTCTCAGGATGCTTCACTGTTATAATAATAATTTGTTACATTTATATAGCGCTTTTCTAGGCACTCAAAGCGCTTTACATTGTCAGGGGGTATCTCCTCATCCACCACCAGTGTGCAGCATCCACCTGGATGTTGGCATGTCACAGGACTCATGGTAGCACTCACCTCTCTTCTACCGAACAATCAATTTTTCAGGTGTCCCAAACAGTCGAAAGGGAGCTTCATCAGAGAAAATAACTTTGCACCAGTCCTCTGCTGTCCAATCCTTGTACTTCCTGCAGAATTTCAGTCTGTCCTTTATATATATATATATAAAGAATTCACTGTAATAAGAACTGCAATGACTTTTTAAAGTTGTTCTGAATTTTGATCCAAAGCACAATCATGCATTATTCTTTACTGTCACTATTAGTCCTGTAGATTCAGTCTTTCACATATCCCATAGCTTATTGTGAATATAAACCTTCAGTTTTGGACACTGCAAAGCTAAAGTGAACCCTATTTCTGCGTTTGGAAATGAATGTTGTAAATTGAGTTCAGCTGAAGTCATTTTCACAAAAGGCTAACATGTAAATAGATATATAATACATATCTCATTAATGACAAAATTCTTAGGCTGAATTGTGTTGACTAATTCATGTTTTATTTTGTACATTTTGGACGGATTCCCCCAACCACACACATGCCAAAACTCATTCTGCATATGAATCACATAAATTAATAACTGTCCTCAGACTTTATAGGCCTAAACGTGTAGCTTTAATAGGCATTTTGGTTGACTACCTACCAGGGTTAGGTCTATATTCTGTCATCATTTACTCTCAAGATGTTTCAAAAGTTTCTTCAGTGTAATCAGTCTGTCCTTGACGTTTTTCTTGGAGAGAAGTGACTTCTTTGCTGCCTTCTTGACACTAGGCCGTTGTCCAAAAGTCTTGACCTCACTGTGCATGCAGATGCTCTCACACCAACCTGCTGCCATTCCTGAGCAAGCTCTGCA